CCACAAGGTTTCTTGGATCAGTGGGTTCAGCGTGACTCGGCTGTTCTGACGGCATTCTTAAAACGTAGTGCGTTGGGAGGAATAACCGGACATAACCGGACAAAAGGGACGTGCGTGAGTGATTTCTATGTCAGATCAGCTGCACGTGAGAACTCTTCATGTGATTACGGCCGTTAAGAAATACTTGAAGACATTCGGATGCCCCGGCCGGTCAAGTCAAGTCAACATCGCTATCTCGGAGCTGTCGAGTCACTTCTTCCGATAGAGCAGAATGTCAGAGATTTCGAGTCACTCGAACGGAGGTGAGGTCGGTGAAACGGTTCACGGGATGCCGTGATCACGATGGCGACGAGGTGCCGGATCATGCATGAGGGGACCTAATCTGGACTGTCCATTTGGATTGTCTGTCCATCAAGGTCCTCATCTGCCTGGAAGTATATCAGCCCAAGACCTCCTCAGTATCACTTGCTGGTTCTCAAACCTCGATCATACGACTGAGTGCGGGGTTGTTCCGTCTTTGTTGCAGCTCTTCAGCCCTGAAAGTGGCGTACCCCCAACATTTTCAACACGTAAGCATCGCCAGTCATGGCAGGACATGACATGATCCGAAAAGCATCGGAAAGCGAAACACAGGGAAAAGCAAGTTGAGAAAGACTCGATTTGAAGATGTGGGGTGTCCAGACTCTTAGGGATTTTGAGGAGCAGGCACTTTCGAGAGGATTTCATTTTGCCAAGTCGCTCTATTTATGTTTCAATCTTGAGTTTGAAGTTTATGCCTTTCTTCAGTGCTTTCTCCTGTATGCCGCACTTGAGGTTAATGGTATCTAGAACAATCTGCGAGGTCGTTTGAAGTCCCTTTTAAGCGAGTGTTGTCTTAATCCCAACGACGTCACAGCTTTTTGATGTCATGCTTGTAAAGGTGGGGGTCGTTTTCGCTCAAAACTCCCTCGAAAAATGCCATCAGATGAAATCTAGCGTTGGCTAGCCCCAACTCAGGCGTTTGGAATTGTCACTGTCGATGTTCTGGAAGCGCTTGGGACATTTCGATCCGGAAATTCTCTTGTGAGGTCACCAACTTTAAGCGATCATCCCTTATTTAGCGAGCCACCTGAAAGCAATAATTGACGAATCCGCGATGCAGATGAAGCTTTGGAATGTCATCAAGCAGAGATGGTGCAAGATGGCAGGGTATCATTGGTGAATGTTTGAGGAAGGAGCAATGAAGTCACCTTCCTTCCTCCTAGGCACCTTCCTCGTACAAAACTGCGAAATAGAGTCTACGCCAGACTGTGTCTCCACACTTCCTTCTACAAAACAACCACCCCGCCTGTCTTCAAGATGGATTCGTATTCAACAGTCACAGAAGGCTACGGAGAACTCCCGGAACCACCAACCAAGAAACGTAAAACAAGCCATCCAGACAATATGGCAGCCCCGGAGCAATTTGAAGGATTCATGATCCACGACACCAAGAAGTGGACCGAATTCACTAAGGAGAAGGTACAGCTAACATTCGATCTATCTCATATCTGCTGACAATTTCCAGTTTACTTCAAAGAACTTCGAAGACTACGATGTCGATATCGAGAACGAATGTTGCGGTGTCTGCGGTTCCGACGTCCACACAATTACTGGAGGATGGGGAGATTTGGCCACAAGTCCTATCTGTGTTGGACACGAAATCATTGGGAAGGTTCTGCGAGTCGGATCAAAAGTGAAGTCTTTCAAGCCAGGTCAACGCGTTGGAGTCGGAGCCCAAGTTCAATCTTGCATGCAATGCAGAATGTGCAAGAGCAATAACGAGAACTACTGCCCACACATGGTAGACACCTACATGACACCCTACAACATCAACGGCGGCAACCCATCGGTCTCGATAGACAACCAAAAACCGATGAAGGACAGCAAGGGCAATCAGATCTTCTCCCAGGGAGGCTATTCTTCACACTCCCGTGTTCACGAGCAATTCGTCTTCCCGATTCTCGACAACTTACCTTCAGAGATTGTTGCGCCAATGATGTGCGCTGGTCTCACCGTCTACTCCCTCTTGTTCGTGCTGGGACTGGACCTGGAAAGAAAGTTGCCATTGTCGGAATTGGTGGACTTGGACACTTCGCGCTCATCTGGGCGAAGGCTTTGGGAGCTGAGGTCACTGCTATCTCTCACAGTCCCAACAAGAAGGATGATGCTCTTGCCCTTGGTGCTGACCACTTCGTCTCCACTGCAGACAAGGGCTGGGCCGAGCCTCCGCGTTCGAGTATGATTTCGTCCTCAACGCCGCAGATATGACACACGAGTTCGACATTGCTCAATATCTGAGTACAATCAACATCAACGGCGAGTTCCACAACGTCGGTCTTCCAGATCAACCACTTCCTCAATTCAAGGCCCAGGTTTTTGCATCCAATGGAGCCAAGATGGGTGGATCTCACATTGGCAGCAAGAAGGAGGCTCTTGAAATGTTGCAATTGGCAAGCAAGATCTACGAGAAGGGGATCAAGCCAAAGATTGAGACCATTGACATCTCAGAGAAGGGCTGCAGTGAGGTCGTTCAAAGGGTGAAGACCAACAAGGTCCGATACCGTGTTACTTTGACTGGCTTCCACAAGGCTTTCAGTACTGGCAAGGATTGAGGATAGAGTATGGATAATGTAAGGCTCGGATAAGTGTATAATTCTATACAGTAGCATCGTCGACAGCATTCTTAGTAAGCATGGTAGACAATGGACAAACAATTCGCATAGAGATACTTCACGTCCACGTTTCCAGTCTCCGTCAAGCAGCAAGTGAATATCAGGATCAAGATCGCCAAAGCCTGAACGGACATTCTCGAACCAGGGCCAAAAAACGATGGTGGGAACAAGCCAATCAGATTTCGCTCCTGGTCTTTGCAACTTTGCAATTCCCCTGATTCTCCTCGATTTGATCAAGCCGCACTTAGGCCTTGCTTTGGGCTCCCGATACTAGAAATATAAATCAAATCGTCGTGAAAAGCTTCATCAGCACGTGTCAGTGGCTTGACCAGACCCTCCCAGACCACAGCCACATCCGCAAGCCCGCATTGCAGATCACGACCGTGCAAATCATGGCACTGTGGCACCATGACGTATATTTTCATCGAGGGGCATTTCATCATCCTCTCCACAAACCACAGATCGAAACTTATGGCGCTCGACAGGACGAATTTGCTAGTCGCAGTTCAGCAAACTTAGACCTAAACTAGATACAACTCGCACCCCAATCCATCAAATCAGAGGATATGAAAAAGAGGCCAGACTCGTGGCTTCGAGACTGCCGAAGTACCAGGGCAGGCTTTACATCATGCATCGAGGCTTGATCGGGACTAAAGTCGCGCAAGACCCTGATTTTGGGGAAATCGACCACTGAGAATCGATCTATGGAGACGAGCCGGGTAGTCAGGCCGGCTCCATTTCCTCGTTTCCTAGCAGAGCAGAGAAGATGAATGGCTCCAAGCAGCTAAGTTCCTTGTTGTTGGGTGGATGCATGTGGATGTGATGACATGCCTGCCCGTCGATGAGTGGTGTTCCCACACAACACCAATCCCATATATCAACCCCTCGTATTGCCTGCTCCCCAGATTCAAGATCTTCAACTCTAAACTTTTGTCTCACACCCCGCCAAATAACCAAACAATAAAGAAGACAAGATGGCGTTCGGCGGTCTTGCACTCAAATCTGTCTCCTGGTTCCTCCGAATCGTCGAGTTCTGCTGCGCAGCCATCATCCTAGGAATATTTTCCTACTTCCTCGCAACTCTCCACAACCACGACCTCCACATCGCAACCTACATTCGCGCCGTGGAAGGTATTTCCGGAGCCGCTGTTCTATACACCATCTTCGCTTTGCTGCTCGTATGCTGTCTCGGAGGCATCGCTTTCTTCTCTGTGATTGGAATGCTGCTTGATCTTGCTTTCACTGGAGCTTTTATCTACGTCGCCTGGGCTACGAGAGGAGGAGCACATAGCTGCAGAGGATATGTGAATACTCCGTTCGGATCTGGGAATACGGAGATCAGCAATACGGTTGCGCAGGGAAGCAGTGGATTCACTCGCCTCCCGAGTCTGCATACTGCATGCCAGCTTGAGAAGGCCTGTTTCGCTGTTGCGATTGTTGGACTGTAAGCTCCATCCCCTCCTCTTTCGCTTTCCTTGTGTGGGAAGAAAGCTAATGAGATCACAGCGTATTCTTCTTCTTCTCCATCTTTGCTGAGCTCGGCCTCATCCGCCACCGCAAGAAGGAACGCGCATTCGGTCCCTCACCCAACAACGGCTACACAGCCGGCTCACCCAAGCGCAAGTTCTGGCAACGCAAACCAAAGTACGCCAATCGCGACTTGGAGAAGAACCCTGATGCTCTCCCTACCCATGCTACTCCTGCCGATGTCAGAACCTCCTATGCAACTGACGCAACCGCGGTTGGAAATGAGACGTCATACAACAAGTATGGGAATACACCTGCGTATGGCAACCGGACTGCTGGTACCGTGCCGAGTGCTGGGGTGAATGGGTATCAGACAACGACTACGACGCATGTGCCGCATGATGGGTATACGAGGACTTATCAGCCGTACAATGCTAATCCTACTGCTAACTTCTAAGTTGAAGCTAAGTAGGATGGGCAGGGTTTAAAGATGTATGAAAGTTTCATTTGTTTGGTGATGGCGGGGTTGGCGGGTAGGATAACATGGATATGTATATACATGATGATACCACGATGCTTGAGAAACTATGGTAATACCTAATAATATTGTACATTACGCATGACCATTTTTCTATTGAAAACATAGTGCTCTCTTACCAATGACTTCGTCAAATTGAATTGAATTGAAGGGGTAGTCAATCTAAACTGCTGTGGGGATGAGTCAAAGTCCCAAGCGAGCAGAGAAAATTTTGCAAAGAACTTTTCCGCTCCGCCCGATGTCTTCCACGACACTTCATATATTTTAAATAAGGATTTCTTCAGCATAAATTCAGCCAATCAGGTCGCTTAGCTCAGCTGGTTAGAGCGTAGTGCTAATAACGCCAAGGTCGCGAGTTCGATCCTCGTAGTGACCATTAACGGATAATTTTTTGCATCTTAAGGCGTTTTAAGAAGACCAGAGGAAGACCAGATAGTAGCAGGATCGATGGCCTTTTTTGATTGCTCTTCTTGTCCACTTGGACAGTTGTTTTGTGTTTGGAAAGCTGTTTTTGCGTGCCGAGAAGTGTGGAGGCGTTTAGTGATGAGGTGCCGAGAAGAAGCCTTGAGAACGAAAAGGAGATGAGATTGAACGCTCCGATCCTTTCAGAACATGTGCCTTTGATACAGCAGAGTAGGGTATAGTACATGCAATCCAACCATCTACATGATAAAATTCACCGTCGTCCCGCGCTTGACAACAATCGCTCTCTTCGACTTCCTGATATCGACAGGTGGTCGTCCTTGTTTTGAAACTCCCATCAACTTCTCCTTCCCGTCTTTCGTCTTCAGAATCTCTTTTATCAGCCAGCCTTCGAGATCGTGCCCAGTCAAATCCTCTGGTGGCTTCGGGATCTCAACAGCCACTCTCATCTTCCCGTTGATTTGGATGGCGCATTTCTGTGTCGAAGGACCCAACATCTCAAACGTCCCATCTGTTGTTGGGAAAGGTTGACCAAAAATGCTTCCAATCCTATCTCGTCGGTAAAACATTGTATAGTTTCCCGACCCCCCTTTCAAGCGTGCAATCAGGTTCAGAAACTTCGTAACACCTAAGTCGAGGAGGTAGGTGGGGAATTTCGGTGGTTGAAAAAGAATCTTCTCCCAATTGTATTCCGCAACCGCTGGGGTGATTGGCGCCATCAGCTTGAGCAAGGTCATGACAGCATGATGAACTAATTGAGGGTCAATCTTGATAAAAGTGGAATCTTGATGTTCGGTTGTTTCCTGGTCAACAATGGCGTTCGTCAAGGACATCAAGTCTGATATCACTGTGTTCAAAGAATGAGTAGTTCTGTAGGACTCTGTGACGGAGGTGATTGTAGCTTGTACAGTCCGCCATAGAGCCTTCTCTGCCTCGAATCTGTTTTTCATTTCGTCCTTGACCTTAATGTCCATGCCGCCACTGATTCTTCTGGCGTTTTGCTTGAATTCTTGCAAATTTCGAGACATCGGTTTCGCTTTTTGGAATGATTCGGCGTCAAGCGCAATGTAGCTGCTATCGTCTATATTTTGGATCAGTTCGGATTGTTCTAGAAAATGCGATTTGGCGTTAAAAGGTTTCGACTGTTCCATGGAGCCCCAGTGACCCATCTCGGAATGGATATTCTTGTGTATGAAATCGTTGAGTCGATTGAGCCACCGCGTGACGCCTGCTATTTTAGCCTCGTCCCATTCCAGCACCTCACTGACAGGTGCTTGGAACAGAATATGGGCTCTTGTCGCATCTGCACCATATTTCTCCATGCAAGTTCCTGGATCGACACCGTTATATTTCGACTTTGACATTTTCTCGAAGCTCACATTAGCCCTCTCACCTGTACTGACGACCCTGGGTTGAGAAACATTGCTCAAATCAACTTCATCCGGCTTCAAGAAACGTCCGTTGGAAGGATCTGAGTATGTCTTCCCGTGGACCATCCCTTGAGTCAAGATTTTCTTGAATGGTTCTCCAGCATGCTTGGATCCTTTTGGCCAGTATGGCGTTGTGCTCAGAAATTTGGAGATGAACCGAGCGTACAAGAGATGTAAGATCGCATGCTCTACCCCCCCTATGTAGATGTCCACCGGTAAATTTGCATTCGCTGCCTCTGGCGAGAACAGAAACTGCTTGTTATGGGCGTCAGGAAAACGCATGAAATACCAACTCGAATCCACGAAAGTGTCCATAGTATCGGTATCTCGTTTGGCTGCTCCACCGCACTTCGGACACTTTGTGTTCACCCAATCATGAGCATGGTCAAGAGGGTTGCCGGTTTTGCCGTTCCCCCAATGATCCTCGACGGGAGGAAGTTTGACAGGAAGTTCATCCTCAGGTACTGGCACAGGTCCACAACTCTTGCAATGAATGATTGGAATTGGCGTACCCCAGTATCGCTGTCGACTGACCAACCAATCTCGCAGACGCCAGGTTACAGCAGCAGATCCTAAGCCTTTCGCGTGAAGTAGAGTAACGATCTTCTTCATCGCTTGTGCAGTGCTCAGACCAGCATATGGACCGCTGTGCTTTGTAAGATGGCCGTGGTGGACGTATGGTGCATTCTTCAGGGCACTGGTAGATTCATCCGGAGACTGTGATATGACCATCCGTACTGGATCATCATACTGGTTATGTTTCCAGAAACCATGATCACGAGTATCATGACCTGGAACGCCCATAACTGCGCCGTCTCCATAGTCTCCGAGGACATAGGGCGCAACATAGATGGGTAAAGACGCTTTCGTGGGATCTGGCGTAGATTCTTCGTATGCTAGCGGGTTCAAGGCCCGAACATGGGGAAGAAGATATCCGATCTTGGAATCAGATGGCAGGGCTGGAATGGTGTCCAAGAAAGCTTGGAGTTCAACATCAGTCTTTGCCAAGCTCTGGACAATTGGATGTGTTGATGCCAGAGCTATGTACTGGACTCCGAAAATCGTATCTGGCCTCGTGGTGAAGACTTCAATATCTGAGTGTGTCTGTTGGTCGTAGGCAACGACTGGAAATTTGATCTTCGCTCCTGTTGATTTCCCAAGCCAGTTCTTCTGCATAGCCAGGACCCTCTCTGACCAGGCTCCTCCTTTCTCCAGCTCCTTGAGACCATCCAGGAGTTCTTGTCGGAAGTGGGTGATCTTGAAGAACCATTGCTTCAGCAGTTTTTGCTCCACTTTGGCACCAGACCTCCATGAGCAGCCGTTCGCGTCCACCTGTTCGTTCGCTAGCACGGTCTTATCCACGGGATCATAATTGACCAATGATTCTGCCTGGTATGCCAGGCCAGCTTGGTGTAGGAGGAGGAACAGTTGCTGCGTGTGCTTGTAGAAGCTCGGATCGCTCGTGGCAAACTCCTACAATTTGTCAGTCTTGCTCTTATCCTTCTGGCCATTACACCAACCTTGTCCCAGTCCCATTGGCCATTCATCTTCTCTAGCTGCGACTTCATTCTCTCAATGTTCTGCTTCGTCCATGTAGCAGGATCGATACCTCGCTCGATAGCAGCATTCTCCGCTGGTAAACCAAAGGCATCCCACCCAATTGGATGCATAACATCAAAGCCTTGCATTCGATGAAATCGTGCCAGAACATCGGATATGGTGTAGACTCGCAGATGTCCCAGATGGAGATCTCCTGATGGGTACGGGAACATGGGCAAAATGTACTTCTTCTCCTTGGTCTCCTTTTCCTCTTTTCCATAGAACATTGACCAGGGCCATGTTTCGCTTTTCTCTTTCACCAACCGCCGCCCACTCTCTGCTGTTCTGTAATATTGATCGATCCCAGGCAAGTTGAGGAATTTATGGTCGGAACGGGCATGGGAATCGTTCGATCTTTTTGAATGGGCAGAGCGTAGGAATTGAAGACTACCGCCGCAGCGTGGCGCATATCCAGAAATTCCTCGCCCTGCATGTTTGCAAATGGCGCGCTGCATCGTCTCGTCGCAACATGGCGTCCTACCGTGAGCACTGCATTGTGTGTGGTTGATGCTGGTGTCGCTTTTGTCAATGTTCGACAATCACACGAGCTTCGAAGCTCCAACAATTTCTCGGGTCCGAGCTTTCGAGATCCGAGACATTCTTGTACGCGTGCCAAGACCATGAGCAAGACAAAGCTGCAAGCATTACCACGTCTTCTATTTATCTTAATCCTCTTGTCAAAGTCTATTCTATTTTCACCTTCAACTTGTTGCGTATAGACTACCCGCATTTTATATCACGATTTCACGACACGCTATGACCTAGAAGTACCGACACGCTAATCAATATTAAAACTTACATTCCATGCCGTCCACTCAACTCCTACCGAAGTATGCGGAGGCCGAGGAGAGTACCACCGATAACATGTCAACATCTTATACGAATCTGCAACCACCCGATCCTCGAGACTCATTAGAGCTCGGCAGTCTGGCCTCCAGCGAACCTGGTGCTCGAACATCGACAGACTCGTCCTCGACTGCCGGTATCTCTTCTTCTCGAAAACTCTCCTTAGAAGGAGACGACCCTCTCGATGCCAGAAACCCAGCTGCGGGCGCGCGAGGGCACGCCAACAGATCCTACTCCATATCCTCTGCCTTCGACTTCACCTCTACAATCTTCCCATTATCCTCGACCACTGGAAATGGCTATGCGCCAATCGCTGCCTCGAGCGAGCAGACGGGCATGGGAGGTGGATCGCTGGAGAAACACAAGACGTTGACATATTTGAATGGGCTATCATTGGTAGTGGGCTTGATCATTGGGTCTGGAATATTTTCGTCGCCAAGTCAAGTGAATATTAATGCCGGATCTCCTGGAGCCTCGCTGGTTGTGTGGGTAATTGCTGGATTTCTGGCATGGACGGGAGGGTCGAGCTTCGCAGAGCTGGGGGGAGCGATACCGCTGAATGGAGGCGCCCAGGTCTATTTGTCAAAGATATTCGGAGAGCTGTTCGGGTTCCTATACACATGGTGCGCAGTCACAGTGTTGAAGCCGGGGTCGACGGCCATAATCACAATCATAATGGGAGAATATTTGGTGAGAGCAGCTATTGGAGCTGAAGCGGAGAGCGTCAACCCTTGGATCAACAAGAGCATGGCGGTACTGGGCTTGATTGTTGCAACTGCCATCAGTTGCACCTCGACAAGGCTTGGCACAAGAGTTGGAGACATGTTCATGTTCCTAAAGTTCATTGCATTGTTGGCAATAACAGTCACCGGGATCATAGTTGCAGCAACAGGGTTCAGTCATGATGGGCAACCGAATCAGGACTGGAAGCATGGGAACTGGTTCGAAGGGACGAAAACAAATGCCAGTTCTTGGGCTGTAGCTTTGTATGCAGGTCTCTGGGCGTTTGATGGATGGGATAATGTAAGGCAGCCCCTTTCATCTGATGTACAATACTAACAAGTCAGACGAGTTACGT